GTTGTTGTTGCAGCAATTGTTGTTGGTTTGGATAGAGTCACATTATCAATGGTTTCGACAGATGTTTGGGAGGCGCTTCCCTCTTTTGACTTTGAAGCAGCAGTCTTTATCCTGATGGCTGAAAATCGAAACAATTAAGGCAAAAGTTAAAAATGTAGAAAATGAGAAACATTTGGGATTTTCCCAAGCATTCGCACCTGCGCCTTCATCATATTTAATCGACATGGCAGAAAGGTCATAGCGAAGATGTCCTGGGAAATCGTGGAGCCAATGTCGATCCCATGTCATAGTCTCAGATGGCTTTGGTTTCTTTTGAAGATATTTGAACATTTATTTGCAAGTGAACCACCAAGGATATGGAGGAAACCAAGCCAGAGCCAGTTCTGAGGTAGGTAATCTAGGAAATTTAGGTGGATGCATTTCGAATGCCAACCTATACCTATCCTCAGGTGACAGCCCTGAAGGAAGTTTTAACTTAGAAATTTTTTCTTTAAATTTTTCCTTCAAGGTCTCAGCCGCTTGATGCACAGTGGATTCCAAGTGTGTGGGATCATAAGTAGTTTCGAAATAATTTTGAAAAGCCCTAATCTCTTTGGCATGAGTGAACATACCTTTCTTGGATTGTACCTGCACATCGAACGCATCAGTTAGTTTCTGTTGAATAGAGAGGGTATCGAACATATAAGATTGATAGAACTTTGTCCACCATTCCAGAAAACCCTTTGCTGTGAGGTGTGTAGGTTCGAAAGATATTAGTTCAAAGTGGGCGAAGCCTTGGTATTGTTCCTGTTGTAGTTTGGCTTCTCTTGCCTTGAAGGTTCGCCCAGAGGTGATGGCACTTTCTGTTTGGAACAGGGGTTCAGGGATTAGTTGGCACAAGCCAAATTGTCTCGAAACGAAGTTGGGTTGATAAGCAAAAAGGAAGATTTGATTCTTAGAGGGAGTAATTCGTGAGGAGATTAGTCTGGGAAGCAAAAAGGCTTTCCACACATATTGAATTTCTTTGCTTTTGATTGCTTCTGAGAGAGCCATGGTGAACCACGATGGCCCATGAGTCCTTGAGGCAAAGGGCACCATGGTCTCTTCGAATTTGTGTCTCTTGGAGAAGATCATTATGTATTTTGAGAAGAGAACTTTGAAGTCATCCTTATCATCGTTTGGGGTAAGTCTTCGTAGCCTAGTACCTTCAATGATTCTGTCCGTTATCTCCGGATCTTGTTCCACAATAGTATTAGCAGTTGATAGTGAAGGTTCAAACATGGCATTGAGCCATAACTGGAGTAACCAAAAGGGGCCAGCTAGCAGGATGTTTTTGGAGGTGTGGGATTTCAAACTCGAAACAGCTGATCTTAAACTTTCGTAAAGATCAACAAGTAGAAGTTCGCTTAAACACACCCTCCGATTCTCATGTAAATCTCTAGCTAGAGGAATGAACCTGCTGGCTACCTGTAAGGACCTACTGCAGAATACATACCTTGATAACCATAAGGTGAGGAAAGCAATGTGTTCCACATCTGACACCCTATCTCCTTCAGTGTGATAGTGGCTAATGAACTTTGAAAAGCTGGCTAATTTGACTTCGAAGTCAATAATGCTCGAATGCTCTTCATTGTCAGGAATATAGGTTTCTCCTACTGGTGACAAACCAGTAATAGCTGCTATGTCAAAAAAGGTGGGTGTAATCATTCCCCCAGGGAGATGGAAGGTGTTGTAGGTACTGTCCCAGAAATATAAGGACACAAATAATAATGGGTGGCTATAGGTAAAGCCTGGTTTCGATAATTTAATCAAGTTGTAAATGCCTAATTCCTCCCATTGCTGGGATTTCTTGGCTTCTACTTTAGTAAACCAGTTGTGGTAGGCTGTGTCAGAGGTGGGGCAGGATCGAAATGGTTTGAAGTTACTCTTTACATAATCTAGCACAAAAGGGTCCTTTGGGGGAATGATTGGAGTTTCCACGGTGGTCGAATCAGAAGACTCCCCTGTCTTAGGGGTATCCATTTTATTAAACAAAGGCTTAAAATTATAACAAACAGGAAAGATTTTTCTAGTATCTTTTAAGATTTCAAAGACTGTAAGAGGACCCATTAAAGCTAACCTCTTGCCAGCGGCGTTAGTAGGAATTAGTACCTGAGATGCGTAGAGCATTTCCTTCTCTTTGGAGATCATCTGGGGAATAAGCACAGACTGACCTTGATAGGTGCCAACCTTGCTTTCCATTATGGTTCCTGTGTTCTTTCCTTTCTTTTTGGAAGCTTTTTTCAGTTGGGATGATGTTGAAGAAGACATTGTTTGAAGAGTGTTGGAAGTTTTAGGGTTTCGGTGAGAAGAGAGGAAGAAAAGATTCAGAATGTGGGAAGAAAAAATAAAAGACTAAGTTGATGGGTTTTTTATAGTGTGGAAGTTTAAACATCCACTGAGTAAGATTGGGATACGTGGGAGTCGTGGGTTGGATTGAGAAGGAGGTGGCGTAAAAGTTGATATTGGTAATAGGCGTGATTAAATAATAATCATTGTGTTGTAACTGCACCATGCTGTGAAATGGTTCAAGGCGGTTAAGGAATCTGAAAAGCGTCATGATTGACGTGACTGGAGTTATATGCAATAAATGTTACGATTATTCAAAGGTCGCGTCAAAATCTTGCATATATGTTTAAAATAAGTATTTCTCAAAGGAATCGAAATACATATTTTAAAGGGGCATTTTGTTGGCTGAAGATTTTGATGATATTGTTCGAAGCGAAGCAAGTTGGATGTTTCGATTGGAATAAAGCAAGATGTCACGTTTCAAAATGGTAGAAGCAGTGCTTCGAATGGGCATGTCAAAAATCTGAGCTTCGAGTGACAGTTATGGGGATATATTCAAAGAAATCTCGAAGTGTTAACAAGGCCGTGTCCAAGAAATGAGTTCGAAACGAAGAGTACCAAAACATTTGAAATTCAAACGCAAGCGGGATGTTCGGAATTTAAAATATATGCGCTGGAGCATTCGAAGACGCGTGGAAGCTAGAGAGGGGCATTGCTTTGCATGTTCTGAACGTGGCAGAATCTTATAGCAAGACCGTTATGGTCGAAGTAGTATAAATAGAAGTCTTAGCGTTAGGATTTCGTGTGTCATATCTATTGTACAAAAATTCAGTAAACATTCAAAATACCACATGGCTAGGGAAACGAATGCTCGAACAATGTACGTATGATAACACCAAGTGTTTATGATTCAATAAAACTCTTTATCATTTCCAGTTTTTTCATCTATCTTCATGTCAATATCATTCAAAAGCCTTTACATTAAAGCATTTTCATTCGAAGTCTTTTTACTGATGTCTTGCATTTAAATGTTTTTTTTCCATTTCAAATCCTTTACATTTCAGAAACTTTTGTATATTTCATGCCTTTACCTTCATGCCTTTATCATTCGAACACCTTTTTCATTTAAAGTCATTTTACTGATTTCTTGCATTTAAACGCTTTATTTATATTTCGAGTCTTTTACATTCAGAGAATCTTTTACATTACATGCTTTTATACTTCGAAGTTATTTACTTGTATTTTTGCAGTTTTACATGTCTTTACAATTGAACCTTTATTCATGCAATTTAGTTTCGCACGCATTTACTTGATCATGTCATTAGATCTTTAATTGAGTAATCGAAATAAGTTGAACACCTACACGACATTCTAAATACCAACCATGAATATCAGTTCTATAATGAGAATTATCCAAATGACCAATACACCATAGGATCAATCTAGTCGATCCTACAAGTTACCAGAGAGATTAAATAACAGTCATTAAGATTATTTGATAGTTTGGAGGACTAGCGGTTGTTTACCAGAAATAACTGTAAACACACATACACAGGACAACAATACAACAACATGATAAACAAACAAAACAACTAAACAAATCACAATATGTAAGAGATAAAAACCATCAACACAATATCGTCTGGTCCAAGCACCATCATCATGACATCAACGTCACATCTCACTTTTTCCATGATCGACTTATTTCATTTTCGTTCCTCACTATGATGTGCCTTTCTATTTTTCTGATTTGTTCACCTTCAGGAATGTCTCCTTCCAACCAGCGAATCAAGTGCCTCTGAAAATGCTCGAACGTATGCGTGTTCCAGAGTTTGATCTTCACCGGAGGCTTTGTCGCCGAAAAAATAACACGCGCATCTCTTTTGATCAGTGAAAACTTTGACAAGAGAGTTGAAGACATTTTCTAAGAGTTATGTAACAAATGGTGTGGAAAAATGAAGAGGATGGGTGGTTGCATTTATAGAAAATGCAATAACACTGTCAAGCCAAGGAGGGTGGCGCCTCCTCTCTAAAAACACATGCATGTGCCACACTACATGGCTTTACAGAGGAGAACAAACCATGCAGTGTGGCGCCTCCTCTTAAAAATGTATGCATGTGCCACACAGAGTGGCTACTCCTCTGTGTAGCGAAATTTTTTTTGTTTGAAAAATAATCATTTTGGTAAATTTTTTTAAAAAATAGTTATTTAGAAAAAACATTTTGAAAAAAATAATTATTTAAAAAAAAAATTCCACATAGAGACCTCTCTCAAATTAATTACTCACTTGACTCTCCAAATGCCAATAAAATCCTATAAACTTCTTCTATTCTCTTTTCAAAGTCACATTACTAGTTCACTCGCTTCTAGGGTAACTCTCTCTCCCTCTCACTCTTTACACAAATCGATTCCAATGTCCTTTTGTCTTTTTCATACTATTATTTTGTACTGTTCTTTTTTTCATATCATGTGAAATCAACAGAAAAATGAATCATGCATGCATATATGCATGATGTTGTTTTCGTTTTTCGATCATTTGTGAATGAAACCCTAGTGTTGATGTTTAGTATTTGACTTGACGATTGATCTTAATTCTAGAACTTTCTTACTTTGGATTTTGGAATCTTGTTTCTTTTTAAATTTTGTTTTTGGGTGATATGCTAATGATTGCTACAGTTTCACAGTTTCAATAATGGCTGTAGAGGAGTACCTTACAAAAATGGAGCATTTGGAAGCCCAGGTGAAAGAACTCGGTTCAAAACACAAGCTTTTGGAAAGTCGGGTGAAGGAACTAGAATCAAAATTGAAGCAACATGAAGGACGAGTGAAGGAGTTTCGATCAAAGGAAGAGGAACTTGAATCAAAAGAGAAGGAGTTTGAAGGGCGAGTGAGGGAGTTTGAAACAAAAGAGGCGGAATTTAAAAAACGGGTGAGGGAGTTCGAAATGAAGCAGTTGGAAATGCTAAAATCAAAAGAGGAACAGTTAGAAGGAGAATTGAAAGATCTTGAGTGGATGCAGAATGAATTTGATGAACAACTCAAGGAACTTGAGATAAGAGAGAATCAATATGATGAGGATCAATCAAGTCATACGATTGATGATGGATGGAATTTGCAATTGCTATTTGCTCATGTGTGATCAAACTCTCATTCTAGTTAATTTGCAACTGCTAGCATCATCAGATAGCAATGGCATTCTAGTTAATCTTCAAATGATTTTCAAGTCCTTCTTTCGATGAAGACCAAGGTTTAGTTTTTTGGTTTTGTTAATCATCAGACACAGTTATATGGGAAACTAGGCTTTACTGATAAAACTTATTATATTGCTTGACAAATAACTAGTGTGCATTGCTATGTATTTAATCTCACAAGTAGATGAAGTAATTTTTGTTGCTTTTTAGAGCATCGGAGTATTGGAGCATTGTGGAACTCGAACAAATAGTCCGAGGTACTCTTCCTATATTGCTTAGCACTCCATAGTTGAGTGTTTCTTTGATGTACCTCATGATTCTTTTGGCTGCAAGCAAATGTGAAACTCTAGGCGCATTCATGAACCTACTGATAATTCCAACTGCATATAAATATGTGGTTTTCCATGAAAACAATATCTCAATCATTTTGTGATCTGCTGGAATAGAGTTTCATTTTTCTTAAGTTTCAAGTTGATTTGTGCAAGGGTTGATGTTGAGTTGCACTCAACCATGTTGAAATTTTTTAGCACATCCATGACTTACGTTATTTGATTCATAACTAAGCCTCTTCCTGTTTGAACAAATTTCCATTCCTAGGAAGTAAGTCAGTTTACCAAGGCCAAGCGTTTCAAATTCAATCACCATTTGCTCTAAGAATCTTGAATTTGACTCACAATATGCCTTGAATTTCAAATTCCTTTACTATAACCATTTTACTTACAATAAGCCTGGACTTCCTTTGAGGTGTATTCACCTCTACCATATGTTATATGAATCTTCAGGGTTCTATCTCACTACTTCTCCACTAGAACTTCAAACTTCTTGAACACTGCAAATGTTTCACTTTTGGCTATATGATAAAAAATAGTCAAATATTTCTCTTGATGCCATCCACAAATGTGATGAAGTACATGTTGCCCCCTAAACAAAGGAACTTCAAGAAGGTCACACACATCTAAATGTACAATATATAGCACACCAACTTACATATGTGATACATGTGATTTAAAGGAATTCTTAGGTTGCATTCCATCTTGACACATCCCCCAGTCATGTGGATATGATACCAAAATCTATGTCTAGAATTTACAGACAATTTGTTGTTTTTTTAAAAATGATTTTATAGTATTATATAATTTTGTGTAAAAAACTTTAATAGAAACTTTTTATTAGAGCTTTAAATTAAAATTTTCGTTATTTCTAGAACATTCTAGTAAAAATAAATAACAATGTTTAGAGAAAACTAGAATAGTATAAAGTTTCTACATGTTTCTAGATTGTTGCAATCATTCTTAGATTAACTTATAACATAGACAGTTCTATGTATATGTAATGTAGAAGAAACAAACCAAAGTCTAGATAGTTCTATTCTAGAAACATCCTCGAGCACATATAAATAGACAAACATATGTGTAATTGTATTAAAACCCTTTAAGCCTTTAAGGTCCAATATCAATAACATCGGCGACTTCATCATATTATTACTCTCCTCATACAATAAGTTGATTACTTAGGTGTTGCCTCTTGTTCTGTGTTACTAAGTGCTCCAATACTTGCTCTCACACTACTTGCTATTATCTTTCAACTATCAACCAGAGCTATTTACACTCTCCAACTACATTCTAAACTATCAATATCATCTCAAATAGCAACAATGGTATCAGAGCTATGTTCGGTCATTCACCGGGCATAGCAAACTATTTCTTCTTGTCACCAACTATTTTATTAAAACTAGAAAATGAGGTCTCTGACTCAAACAGAAAGGAGTACAAGTAGCCACACGACCCGACTCTGTTTGAGTTCAAACCCTAAACTAAAAATGAGAGAGAGAGAAAGAGGAATTCAGGTAGACTAACAGTCTGATCCTCTTAATTTCAAGTCCAACTAATATCGTAAACCTATGAAAAATAAGGCTCGAGTTCTGATAGAGCACAAGCACAAGCGATAAAAAAATTGAGACATATGGCATCTGAGGCTCAACTTTAGTACAAGCATAGGAAGACAAATGCAACTACTAGATTTTTTTTGATTTTTAGTGATGATGGATAATATTTTTTTGGTTTATGGTGTGTTTATGAAAGAGTAAAATGCAGAAAAATAAAGAGACACGAGCGATATATCCTGGTTCCCCTCACAGCCCGAGAGTACTCCAGTCCCCTTTCAACATGAAAGAGATTTCCTTATAGTGGCAAACTTAAAATAAGAACTACCAAAACCAAGAACAATCCTCTTGTATTTTCACTATGTCAACAATGAGAACAATTCTCTCAAGGTGACCTTACTTGTATCCAACAATCTTGGAAAAACAAGATTACAAAACCACTTGAACTTATTTTCGACAATCCTGAAAAATAAGAAAGTGTATAGCAATATTTGATTGATAGAGTTTGTAGTGCAATAATCACTTTGAGTGATTTTATCAATGACTTGATCTTCACTTTCAATAACAACAATATACAATGACTCAAGACTATAAAATGCTCAAAGTTTTCTGTTTAACAATATATGAAAATGTGCAGAAAAACTTTGTATATAAAAGTGAAGAAAAAACTTGAGTTTTAATATTTTAAAATTCAGAAACTATTGATTGGAAGAGATACAAAATGATTTTTAAAATTCAGTATTTATATGTTCATAGCACCTCTTTGAAACAACATAAATTTCTGCAAATGAATCATGAACAATTGCCAAGATTCAATGAATAGTTTCCATGAAATAGTGTTATGAAAAGGTATGTTCAAAGCTACTGATTTTCAAAAACGTTTAGCATGCAATCGATTGCACCCTTGTGTAAATCGATTGCACGAGTTTTAACAGCTAAAAAATTCAAATATTTTCAGTGAACAATCAATTGCACATGTGTGTAAATCGATTGCACTTTAAAACAGTAGCAAAATTTGATAGAGAGCAATCGATTGCACAAACATGCAAATCGATTACAGTTAGAAACAGTAGCTAACACTTTGAAAACGTGAAGCATGCAATCGATTGCACCAACATGCAAATCGATTGCATATAAGTGAAAATTATTTTTTTGCTTAGAAAACTTGAGAAAAAGTTTGGACAAGATAAAACACTTCTTTTGATCATTGAGCATTTAAGACTTAAGTTCAAAGTAAGTATTATCATTATACCTTATGAAATTTGCTAAGAACTTGAGACAAAGTCTTTTATCCAATGATGCTTTTAGCTTGATCAAAATATTTGCCTTCTTGCCAATATAGTTTGTCTTCATCAAAACAAAGTGCGTTGAGAATCATTTGAGAAACTTGATATTACATTCTCCCCCTTTTTGATGATGATAAACAATCTTTCTTGAAGCTTTGTTATTTCCGGAAAGAGACTTCTCCCCCTAAGATGTATAACTCCCCATTTGTATGAGAAGGTTGGAAACTCTTGAAATTGTTCATCTTGTTGAAGAGTACCTTAGAAGTTTAAGACATGAAATAAACAAGCATAAAGTGCCACATCCTTCTCCCCCTTTGACATTATCAAAAAGAAGGAAAAGATGCAATAAAAATGGATAACATTGAAAACTTAACCAAAATATGCACTAATTAGACATAGTCATAGACATACTTGTCATAGTAGAATAACAAATACATAGAAAGCTCAAAATCAACAAACAAAACATAGCATAAAGTAACAAGGACATAACATAAAAATAGTAGAAATAACAAAATTGGATAGAATTTTAAGGTTGATTCATGTCACAGTTGTTATAGAAGAAGGATCATTGATTGGGGAATTGTTGTTGTAATGGAGGTTCTGTGTATTGTGGTGGAGGTACAGCAAGATTATTAGGGTCATATGGAGGTATGTGAAGGTGAAAGTAGAGGTAGGAAAATTGTTGGTTCACATCTGAGCGAAAATCATTAATCTGAGATGTTGTGGAGTCATTGATGGCATTCCACTGGTGGTTGATGTTGGTGTTGATGGAAGCAAATTGTTAATCTATAACATCTTGATTACTTGGACCAGAGGGAGCAGTAGGTGGAGGAGGTGAAGCATCACCGCCTTCTTCCTCTTGATTGTTTCCTTCGTCACCAACTATATCTTCACCATTGTATGTGATTATTTTTGTTTCCGAATTGTAGTGAACTCTCATTCTCGAATCAATATTTTTTATTGAGATCTTGTGACCATTTGGATCCATATCAACTCTTTTAAAACCGGCAAAATCAATTCCAAATTCTTCCATAATTAGAGTAATAAAGTAAGCATATGGTAGGAATTTTGACTTTGCATCAAACCTTAGCATATGAGTCATTATAAGCCGTGTCCAATTGACGCTTGTACCTCTTTTCCTTGCGTATAACAATTGCATTTCCAAATCAGTCACAGTGCAGTGGTTTCCCGCCCGCGAAAATATAATGTAGACCATGAAATAGTGAAATAGACTATCATCGATAAAAAAAGTTACCTGCACTCCAAGAGTCTCTAGATGGAATGACTCCTCCTAGACCGCGAATTCTTTTAGCACGAAATTTAGCTTCGTCCAATCTGCCAATGTTGTAGTAAAAATCCTTTTTCTTGTAATCATCCCATGCTTCGTCTTCAGGATCATACAAAGAGCTCCCAATATGAGGGATATGTAAAATCTCACCAAGAATTTCAGGGGTTAGAGAAATTCTTATGCCTAACACATATGTAACAAACTTGCCTTTGTAAGTAGCCAAATTACTGAAGAACACTCTTACTAGATCCGGGTAGTATGGACCAAATGATGAAATCAGTGGTTCCAATCCATATGCAGTCAAATTATTCTGAAAAGTAAAGAATTCTTGAGGGAAAGATGATAGCATACCATATTTTGGAGTGGACATTATCTTCCTTTGAAAATCCCTTTTGAACCTTGTTTCTTGAACTTCAGTGAGAGTTGAGATTAATGGATTTTCTGCAGAAGATGAAGCAACTTTCTTCTTTCCTTTCTCTGTAGCTGACACTT